TGGTTTTAGACACGCTGGTTGGAGATGACACGGCTTGGAGATGACATGGGAAATACGGTATTTATGCTGGTTTTAGACACGCGTCTTGGAGATGACAAAGGAAATACGGTATTTATGCTGGTTTTAGACACGCGTCTTGGAGATGACAAAGGAAATACGGTATTTATCCTGGTTTTAGACACGCGGCTTGGAGATGACAAGGGAAATACGGTATTTATGCTGGGTTTAGACACCTGGTTGGAGATGACATGGGAAAACGGTATTTATGCTGGGTTTAGACATGCAGGTTGGAGATGACATGGGAAATACAGTATTTATGCTGGTTTTAGACACGCGGGTTGGAGATGACATGGGAAATACGGTATTTATGCTGGTTTTAGACACGCAGGTTGGGGATGACACGGGAAATACAGTATTTATGCTGGTTTTAGACACGCAGGTTAGAGATGACATGGGAAATACAGTATTTATGCTGGTTTTAGATACGCTGGTTGGAGATGACATGGGAAATACGGTATTTATTCTGGGTTTAGACACGTGGGTTGGAGATGACAAGGGGACATTTAAGGGCAAATGTTCAGAGAGTTGCAGGGTAGAGCTGGAGCTCCAGTGGGCCAAGAGCACGAGAAAGATGCTAGGTAGTCACAGAAGTGGGAACTGAAGCATCTAAGGCAAGTCAGATGTTGTGGAGAGGAAGACACCTCGTTTTAAGTGACAACTACACCAAGGGTATGGGCAGGGGGCACATGTTCCATGCGCCAGAAATCCAGAGAAGTGAAGTGGTTCGCTCGAGAGGTCTCATGGCAAGTTAGTGACGCAGCCACTCCACCCCACTTTCCTTGATGTGTGTGGTCCCATTTGCTTTACGTTGTAACGGAAACCTTCTCAATGTTCAGATATACCTGCTGTACAGTGGACACAATGCCATTTCTTGACAGTCAAGGAAGGCTAACCAAAGACAGAATTTCATTTCCTTAGTTTATTAAAGATGACAATGAACTGCCAGACTGTGCAAGAACCACGGCAGGTGGAAAGCCAGTTCAGAGCACAGGCTGCACACACAGAACATCTCTACTGAGACTCGCGCTTCTTCTATGGTAATTCAACAAGAGCTCTAAATCCGTGGCCGAGAACGTCAAAACAGCCTCATTTAAGTGGAAGATATTTGTCTTCCACTTTTCTGCTATGTCTTGAATCTTGTCTCCACCTGGTAAGCAACCTATGTTTTTTTCTTTCCCTTTACTTAGAGAAAGAACACTACCCTCACCTTCGTTTAGAAGGAATTCTCTTCAGTGCATTCAAAGCTTCTCCCCGCAACAGCAGGGGATTTTCAGATACTGACAAGTTGCAAAGTGCTTCCAAAACATCCCATCCTCTACCCGCTTTCCCCCTCTCGAATAAATAAATAAATGGGTATTTGGACGGTGATGGCAGCAGCGTGTCAGAGTCACTAAAACACGCACGATCTAAAGGGATGGGGTGCAGTTGAGGGAGATGGAGAAAAGTAAGTGACAAGTCAGGAGCCTGTGAGACTGTTGAGTTAGGCTTCAGAAGCTGTCAGCATTTTCATCCTTTGATCCTGTGCTGATGAGAAACAGGCGGGACAAGAAAGCACATCTCCAACGACCTGGAGAGGGAGCTGGATGTGTCACTTTTTTGTTTTCGTTTTGAGACGGAGTCTCGCTCTGTCACCCAGGCTGGAGTGCAGTGGTGC